TTGGCGAAGTCTTTGCAGATTGCCTGTAGTTATACAGAGGGCCTGTTACCATGTCTGCCAGCCAAATCTATGAATGCATGTCAGTGTGATCTCAGTGGAACCCACAGTTTGAGGAGGCCTGGAGACTTTCAAATTTATGTATTAATAAAACAGATGAATATTTGCTTTTTCCAATTACTTTACTCAGATGATATTAAGTGAACTTTCCCAGAATAGCCGTGTAACTTAATGTCACTCATCATCGTTTATACATTAACTAAACACACTCGACTGAATAATCTTACACTTGATTTATTTCTATTTATTTTCCTCGCTGTTAACAGCTTTCACATTTCTTCCTATTCCTCTAACACATACGAAGAGTTATTTATGAACACACAGTGGAACAAAGAAAACTGCCTATTAGAGTATTCTTGAAAAAAAAATTACTGGTCCTAGTAACAATTTCTTTGAATGTATGTGTTATATTCTTTTGGGGCAATTGGAAGATCTTTTTAAATAATAACTTGCATTCGTATTACAGTTATTGTTTTACAACCCTTCTATAATGTCAATCTCTGTTCATCCTCCTCCTGCTAACTTTAACATCTGGGTGAGGCAGGTGTTGAGTCAGTCGTAAGAGTCCCTGTGTGCTAAGGGTGGGGCCAGGTGGAGATGACTGAATTATGGGGAGGGTTTCCCCCATGCTGTTTTTGTGATAGTGAGTGAGTGCTCACGAGCTCTGATGGTTTTATAAGGGGTTTCTCCCTTTGCATGGCACTCATTCTCTCCCGCGGTTCTGTGAAGAGGTGCCTTCCGCCATGATTGCAAGTTTCCTGAGGCCTCCCCAGCCACGAGGAACTGAGAGTCAGTTAAACCTACATTCTTTATAAATTACCCAGTCTTGGGTATTCCTTCAGGGCAGTGTGAGAACAGATTCGTACAGTGGTCCTAGGAGGAGTGGCCTCAGAGTCACCTGGGAATGTTAGAAATGTAAATGCTCAGGTCCCACCCTAGCTTACTGAATCAAAAACTCTGGGGGTGAGGCCCAGAAAACTGTGCTTTCTCAAGCCGGCAGTTGATTCAAGTAGGCTAAAGTTTCAGGAACATTGGCCTACAGGAGAAAATACAAAGGGCTTTCTCAGCAGGCCACAAAGACCTGCTCATCAGGCCTCCTTATGGGTCTAAAGCCATGTCCTATCATTCTCCTTCTGGCAGCCCATACCTTCAGGTCACTCAGGTTCACATTTATTCTATCATCATTTGCTCTTATCTGTAAGGCTTTGCCATATGTCTCTGGATGACCTGACCCAGTCATCCAGACCCAGCCAATATGTCTCCACCTTGGTGCTCCCACCGCACATCATTCACAGACATCAGTCCAGTTCAAAACCACTTTCCTTAGAGCATGAGAGCTCATTTTTCCTATCTTCCTTCCTTTCTAGACTGTGAATTCTCTGAGAAGCAGGACCATGTTTTAGAAGCCTGGGTTGCATCAGCAGTGCCTCTCGCTGCCTGGCCAGGTGGTTTGCAATACTTTCCTTCGTGCTGTTGTTGAATTATTGAAGGGGAAGGAATTAAACCACCATCAGCTGTTGATATTTTCTCAAACCTGTGTGGCCACTCTCACATCAGAAAGCCACGGGCAGCGCTGACAGAAGGGATCTTGAGGAAAGCATCTTGATGAGAGAAGAGGTTTGGTCAGAGGTGCCCTCTGGGGAGGATGGGTTCCAAAGGGGAGCCCTCGGCTTTGGGCTGAGGACAGCCTGTGAGAGTACTGGATTGCCAGGAGGAAACTGAAAGGCAGGAGCCTGAACTGAAATGGAGGTCAGGAAGCCCCAAAGGTAGCATTGGCCCAGATCGTCAAGGAGGCAGCCATGCGTAATAGTCAACACTGAGGGAGACAGAGCTTGCAGTCGGACGATCTCAGGTTGAATTACGTTTATGACCAGAGAATGTTAGTTAGCCTTTCTGAATCTCAGAAACCTTTGTAGAAAATACGAATACCATACTCACAGTACGCAATCATAGGAGCCATTGCTTATTGAGCACTTCAACAGGTCCTTTCTCTTATTTTTTATTTATTTATTTTATTTTAAAAAATTTTTTATTGAGACGGAGTTTCGCTCTTGTTACCCAGGCTGGAGTGCGATGGCGCGATCTCGGCTCACCGCAACCTCCACCTTTTGGGTTCAGGCAATTCTCCTGCCTCAGCCTCCTGAGTAGCTGGGATTACAGGCACGCGCCACCGTGCCCAGCTAATTTTTTGTAGTTTTAGTAGAGACGGAGTTTCACCATGTTGACCAGGATGGTCTCGATCTCTTGACCTCGTGATCCACCCGCCTCGGCCTCCCAAAGAGCTGGGATTACAGGCTTGAGCCGCCGCGCCCCGCCAGGTTCTCTCTTGTAATCTTCACAACCATGCAATGAAATTGGAATTTGGGTCTCCCATTTCACAGCACCAAGAACTTGCCTGGAGTCACATCCACGGGTATAACGTGGGAGAATGGACTTAAGTGGAACCATCAGACCCAGAGCCTTGGCTATCTGATGCTATGCTGCCTGACCTCCTTAGGGGTCTGTGAAGACTAAGTGAGATCTTTATGTAAAGCATCCAGCAAGTGACTGCATGAAAGTCACAATTTTCCTAAGATCAAGTTGGCTTCAGGATGTGGAAAAAATAATCCCTGAACATGGAAAAAATCTTTGGGATGGACATCAAATCTCCACTTTTATCTACTTACTTCCTTTGGCTGTGGAAATCACGTTCTCCTATTTCATTGTTCATTAATACCTTCTTACCTGAAGTTAAGCGTATCCTTATTTCCAGAAAGAAAATCGCTATTTCAGTCAGTGGTCCTCATCCCATTGCTAAGGGTGATGTTTCAAAGAGCACAGTATTAGCCTCCGGCAGAAATCTTTGGAGCCTCCCGTCTGCACTCCTGAGAAAAATGGCACGAGAGGAGAGACACAGCCTTTAGGTCTTTTATGCTTCTGGGAGTGGAATTCTCCACCTTGTTCCTTTGAGTAATGAACAAGAAGAATACTTTTCCAAAGAATTCTGGCAGGCTCCCGATATTAAGATGATGCGGAAGTTCTGTGCTAAACTCCCAGGGACAGCATCGATTCAGAGAGAGCAAAGCAGGCACATCCCACAGGAGCGTTTCCTCCAGAGCTGCTCTGGCTGAAGGATTCACAGAACTCAGAAATCCTTGCCAAGCCTAGAGGTCTTGGAGAGGAATGCTGAACAGAAAACCAGGATATTATTCTGTATATTTTCCTGAGGACTATGATGTAAAGGAGAAAAAAAAATCTTCTTCTACGCATTTCCGGTTCTTCAGTGAGGACCCTGTAAATAAGACTGATGAAAGACAGCTCAAGAAGAAAAAAGCAAACATAAGTTTACGGGCATGTGCATTGTGCATTCATATTAGCACACAGATGAGCAACTCTAAGGGTGGTTTGAATTTGAGCTTATATAGCACCTTTGCAAAAGGAAAATAATTTTTTTTTTTTTAAGAGAAGCAGTGCCACTAAGGAAAAGGACTTTGAGCTTCCAGGGGATGCAAATTATGGGAATGTAAATATACAGGAGAAACTATTGGTAGACAAGGGTTGAGTATGTAAGGTTTGTTATGCAGATTCCTCCGTACAGTCTAGAAAAGGATCCAGCATTGTCTCTGGTGATTAAGAATCATCCTGCCCTTTCTGGTAGAAAAAAAGGAAGGCTGAGAATTTTTCTTATGTCTGTTTCTTTTCAATTGCCTTTAGCTCAAAATAATTCTTATGGCACCGGTTGGGGTGGTACATTCTACTCCCTTTGACAGAAAGTGCAGCCCCACCCAGTTGGCTTTATTGATGAGCCCCTTGTTCCAAAGACTTTCTTTTAGTCACAGAAAAGGAGACAGGAGCAGTGATGGTAGCTGTTGGCAGGCTCGGAGTCACCAAGTGGACTTGATTTCCAAGGCCATGGGTTGCTCTGCATTTCACCAGCGTTTCTACTCCCACAGCACGGCTTCCACTTGTTTTTCTTCTTGTCCTCAGCTCACTCAGGGCCTGTCTTGCTGCAGGCCTGGACAAGTCCTATATGCACTTTTCTTTGTGCAGAATGAAGACCGGGCCTGTTGCGGGTCGAATTTTGTCCTCCCAAAGAAATGCCTTGAAGTCCTAACCCCCAGAACCTGTAAATGGGACCTTATTTGGAAAGAGGGTCTTTGCAGATGAAATCAAATCTTCGCAGATCTAATATGAGTAGTGGTCTTATAAGAAGAAGGAAATTTCCACAGGGACACACACAGAGAAGAATGCCATGTGGGGCCACAGATATATGAAGCTGGAGGCCGCTGCAAACCAAGGAATTGTTGGTGCTAGGAGAATCCTCCCCTAGAGGCTTGGAGGGAGCATGGCCTAGCCAATACCTTCATCTTGGACTTCTAGCTTCCACAACAGTGAAAGACGAAATTTCTGTCGTTTAAAGACACTCCGTTTGTGGTGCTTTGGGGTTTGTTTGTTGTTTGTTCATTTTGAGCTGGAGTCTTACAACCTCTGACTTCGGAGTTCAAGTGATTCTCCTGCCTCAGTCTCTAGACTAGCTGGGACTACATGCCCGGCTAATTTTTTTTGTATTTTTTAGTAGAGATGGGTTTTGTCATGTTGGCCAGGCAGGTCTCCAACTCCTGACCTCAAGTGATGGCTTGTGTCAGTCTCCCAAAGTGCTGGGATTACAGGCATGAGCCCCCATGCCTGGCCCAGTTTGTGGTGCTTTGTGACACAGCCCTAGGAAATTAATAGGGTTCCGTTGTAGGATGGACAAGCTCGCTGGCGCCTGCTGCTCTCAGAGAGTAAAAGGGATTCTGAGTTTCACAGCCTCTTTCAGAGTCAGGGTGAGGACAGGGAAGGGAGCATTCTTCTGGAACTCTTGGTGGTTGATGATACCAGAGAGAGTCGTTCCCATCTCACAGTGGTCAGTGAGGGTTGTTGCACTGCTGTTGATCGCTGTGTGATCCAGTCCAGCAACACAATCCCAGCGTGGGCACCACTTGCCTGAGTGTGGAGGCTGCCAGCAGTCGTACCTCAGGCTGCAGGCCACTCCTCTGCATGTCCCTTCCTGTGGCTCAGTTATCATTTAAAGATCCTGTCATTATGGACCACAGGAGTCCAGAGCGGTAGCCTGGCCAGTTACCTTGACAACCTCATGCTGTAAACTGCTTCCTGGCTGCGGATCTAATGCGATTCTCGATACTGTGGGCTCCTCCCGGCCTGGATGACAGCAGCTGAAGTGAGAGCTTACAGCTCACTTTTAATGATCCCCTTCGTGGCATCTTTAGGGTATATTTGCATTAGCAATGGAAGGTGAGTCTGACTGCTGCTAAGCTGCATGGAATTTTTGCCCAGGGGACCCAAGCCTACTGCTGGCAGATCTGGCTCAGCTGCTGGGAGGCTTTTCTCATCCTCCTTATGCTGTATTTAGGATCCCCTGCGGCACTTCAGCAACAAAGAATGAACGTGACCCTCAGTCAAATGGATTCCTGAGAACTTCCCCTCCCTGAGCTGGACCCTGAGAATATCAGAGAATCTTATCCCAACGGGTTTCTTAACAAAGCATTTTCTCTGTCTTCAATCTTTCCCCACCACCGCCACACCCTTTTAAGATTATTATCTTTAGGGTTTTGAAAGCATGGGTTTTTTTTTTTTGGGGGGGGGAGGAAGGGAGGAAGGCAGGAAGGGAGGGAAGGAGGAAGGAAGGGATGAAGGAAGGAAGGAAGGGAGGAAGTGGGGGGGGAGGGAGGGAGGGAGGGAGGGAAGTGAAGGAAGGAAATCAAGCAATGAGAGAGACATTGCCGACCTGGATCTAGAGGTTTATAAATTGATTTCTTTTTTTTTTTTTCTTTTTTTTGAGAGAGGGAAAGAAAAAAAGTGAGTAAAGGAGAGGAAGAAAGAGGAAGAGAAAGAGGGAAGGTGAATGGAAATATTGCTTTATTCTGAAAAAAATGGGTATTAATAATGGCCAATCGATGTTTCATTTAAACCTATGAATAGGTGTGATGTGGTATTGACAAGAATGTATATTTTGTGTATTTGAAATGGAGAGCTCTATAAATATTTATTAAGTTTACTTGTTTTTAAAAAGCAAAGGCTCTGGAGTGAAGTTGGCATCAGCACAGGCACACATGCACACCTCGCTTCCCAGCTTCCCAGTGCTTTCTCTCCAGTCCTGGTGAAAAGCACCCCCAGGCAACTTCCTGATAAGTAAGAGAGCAGCGCAGGCAGGCGGCTTTCTCCATGGAGAAAAGGCAGCTGCAGTTACTCTTTGACAGAGGCCTAAAGTGGGCGCATGCTCAGCTGAGAGAGAGATTTAACTTGCCTGTCTCTTTCATTGAGGACGTGGACTCTCATCTCCTAGCAGCAGGCAAGAGGGAGGATAATCAAGAAGACCCCACACGTGGTGCCTCTCCAGTATGGGCATCGGAGCCAGCGGCACTAAGCCCAACAGACAGAGCTAGAGAAGCCGAAGCTACAACCTCCTCCTGCAGGATTTCTGTGAGCTGGTACCAAGGGGCCTTCTGCACTGTGGGGGAAGAAGCTACTTTGTGAGGATTCTTTTATCTGTTCATATGGGCAAAAACTTTGGATACACCCTTAGAAACGTAACAGCTGCTGGCTGACAGTCTAGATTTCTAGGGTCAGAGGCTCCCCATCATCTTTGAAAGCCATGCTCAATGTCAAAGCCAGAGAATTTGTTGTTAAGAAGCACTCAGGCCCAGAGAGTATCTTCTGGAAGGGAGAGGAAAGTGAAGTGCAAAGGGGTTCAGAAATCCCCTCCAGCATGTGGATGTTGTTTTCTAACCCCATGCCAACTCCATGGTAGCAACTGCTGCCTGATGCCCACTGCAGTTCTGGACTTTTTGTTATGCCTTTGAAGTGGTGATATCTGGCTAGAAATGAGAGTCTCATGATCTAGAAGACAGGAAAAGTATGAGAGAGAATCAGAAGAGGAAGGCTCAGATCTAGGCATGATGCCTACACTTGCAGCACACATGGAGACAGGTGTTAGCAGTGTAGGCAAGAGCTGTGCCCTCCAGTGATCTCCTTACCCCCTTCTCTCTTTGGGTAACATGCTGATGTGCCTGTAGATGAATATGGATTCTTTTGCAGCTGATTGAGGGTGTCAGCTTAAAGTGTGGCCTCAGGACAGAGTTACATGTTGGAATAACATTTATCTCAGTACATCAGAAGTTGTGATCATTTTTCAATTTCTGTGACAATAATTAATATAAGCATGTTGTGTGTCACTTAGAGATTGGCCTTACAATTGAGCGTTGTTGCGTGATTTATGTAACTGCTTTGAATTTTCTTTTATGATCTCTTGTGCCAAGTAAAGGCAAATGATATCACAGCATTTGAAAAGGAAAATGACACAGAGGTTCAAATTGGAAAGGGGGTAGGAGAAATGAATCATTTTGGGGCCTACAGAATATAGGCATGCTGAAATCCAAAGAATTTGTGCTGTGGCAGCCAGTACCATATTTTCGCTGGGAACAGATGTATTATGCAGATTCCATTTTTTGCACAGACAAACTTGCAACCATTCATCAGCAAAAAGTGCAGCAGTAAAAAAGCAGTGCAGAATTTTCTGTTGATTCTAGCAGTAAGTGGATCAGATACCTACTTAATTCAGGTTTCAATAACCCCGCAACGTGAAACTTATCTTCATGTGAACACACAAGACAGTTGTAGAGTTATCAAGGGAAATCAGATTAAAATTTGCATCCAAGAATTGACAAAGTTTTGGATTTTACGAGGCCTGATGCTTCTGAACTAGCAAACAAAGAAAAAGCTATAGTGTATTTTTTGTGCAACTTATTTATATCAAAAAGGTTTGTATTTAGTTTTGTGGGTTTTTTTTTTTTTTTTTGCAAAATAAAATAGTACAAATAATTTACACCAACACTAAAGGTCTGTTGACTTTATTTTTCCTTCAAAAGAAATTGTGGAAGATGGCTGTTAAGATGCTTCCCAGTGATTTCCACCTTCTGGTATTCATGCCCTGAGCGCTTTCCTCCTACAAGGTATAAATGTTGGTCTGTGTGGCCAATGGAATACTGCAGAAGTGGTCATTTGAAATGAAGTCATCAAATACAGTGTGACTCTCTCTCTCCTTCTCTCCAGTCACTCAGTGACATGGCCAGATGCCATGTCATGAAAACCCTTTGGTGTTCTGTGAAGAAGCTCACGTGAAGAGCAGCTGAGGTCTCCTGTCAACAGCCATGCGAGTGAGCCATCTTGGAAGCGGATCTGCCTGCCCCAGCCTTCTGATGACTGCAGCCCACTGGCTACAGCTTCTCTGCAATGCCATGAGAGGCTCTCAGCCAGAATCTCCCAGCTAAGCCACTCTTGGTTTCCCCACCCTCAGAGAATGTGAGATAAATGTTTGCTTTTTTAAGCATCCTGTTTCCGAGTAGTGTAGCAACAAGTATCTGATGCAGGAGCCTATCCATAACCAATGACTGAGAAAGGCTATCAAATGTCACTTCCTGAATGGAGCCAGTGAGTCAAGTGCTAGACTATTCATTACTTAGTCATGGATTTGGATTTGATTGTATGCTGTAAAAAAAAAAGCTATTTATTGGTCTTGCTTCTTAGCATCAGCTAATTAGTGACATTCACTCCATTTTGATGTATTGCTTAAAATATACATATCTATATATAAATATACAAGAGCAGATTCAACATCTAACCTTGCCATTTCTTCTTTCTTTCTTTTTTCCCTCCCTCCCTCTCTCTTTGTCTCTCTTTCTTTTCTTTCGACAGAATCTCACTCTGTCACCCAGGCTGCAGTGCAGTAGCATAATCTCAGCTCACTGCAGCCTCTACCTCCCAGGTTCCAGTGATTCTCCTGCCTCAGCCTCCTGAGTAGTTGGGATTACAGGTGCATGCCACCATGCCCAGCTAACTTTTGTCTTTTTAGTAGAGACTGGGTTTCACCATTTTGCCCAGGCTGGTCTCAAACGCCTGAGCTCAATTGATCCACCCACCTCGGTCTCCCAAAGTGCTGGGATTACAGGCATGAGCCACCGCTCCTGGCCATCAATTCTTATTATTGTAATAAATCCCTTCATTCAGGGAGTTCATTTTGGCAAGGTGCAAATGCCCAGTACTTCTATTTGACCATCTATCCTTTCCTAGCTCTCGTATGATGTAATTACAAAGAAGGACGGCAAATTCCACTTTCAGTTTAGCTGGAACGAACAGAGTGTATGTAGCCCTGTTACGTTTGCTATAATGAATCTGGTTTCCTGCTACTGTTTACCTGGGAACAAACAAACAAGCTCTAACAATACACAACTGACATTCGTACTTGGGTTAAAATGTAATTTGATTTGCAATTTCAAAAAGATGTTCGCCTCAGTCTTTTAAGGAAAAAACAGACATGGTTTATCTGATTGCTTATTTGTCCATCTTCTGCTTAGCGCCTGGACTCATTTCAGGAAGTCATCTTGGTATGTGTCAGGAATGGTGAGACTTACAAGATCTCACGACAAAAGCAAAACCAGGGTCCTCACACGTGCTCTCCTGGGGTTCCTTGGCTTCTGGAGTGACGTCCCTTGTCCCTTGCGGTTCCATAGCTGCATTCCAGCTGCCATGTCTCCTCTCTTGCTTTGGTCAGTGCCTGTGATGCATCGCAGGTTACTTTGTCTGCAACTCCTCTCCTAGGGATGGGACGAAGCCCTCCAAGTCCTGAGGGCAATCCAAGTTGCTGCTCATCTGGATCGTGTCCTGGATGCAGAGCTGTCTCACTGCAGTGACGTCGTGGCTCTCAAACATGTCCCCAGCTAGATTCTCAGATGTCCTTGGGTCCTGTCTATGTTACTTGAAAGCCTAGATGACCCAGTAAAGCTAAAACACAGGGCTGACTTTGCCAATCAACCCGGTTGATTAGAATAAGGATATAAATAGGGTGGATACGGAACAACTGCAATTCAGTATTCTTCGTAATTCCAGAAGCCCCAACTGACCTCAATCCCTGAATGTCAATTACTTAATATGCACACCCCCTTTAGACAAAGCTTAGAGAGGAACAAATCAGGTCACACAGTTCATGGCCTTCCTTCCTCCCTTTCTTCTCTCTGGTTTTTATCCCCTGTATTCCCACACCCTTCTAGTATTTAATGCTTTCAGTTGATCCCAACACTGCATGTCATATTGACTTGCTCCTCTAGCCAGAACTTATCTAGAAAGACACACACACATACACATCATGTGGCTGCTATGCCCCCAGCTCCTATCTGTTCCTCATATGCTTCCCTTGCTCTGGCCAAAGTTTTAGATTTTAATGCAAAAATACCTGTGTCTTTGTGATTATCCTAGATATAATGGCATATAGGTTTGCTTGTTGGGGAGAAGAATAAAACAACTCCTTCAGAACAATATAAATGCCGTAATGAGAATTATAAAAATGTAATTAGTATTAAACATTTTCATAGGTTTCTCAGCTAATGAATAAATAAATTATATTTCCTTAAGGCATTTCTTGGTATGCTGATGAAAATTTCAGCATACAGCCCTGACAGTCATAATAATGAAATACATGAGACCAATTATCCTGCTACACTCTTGCAGTATCTTAGATTTAATTTAAATGACTCATAACTACAAAAGTAGAAAATATAATGCACTGGTATGAACAATTACAGTTTTTACAAAGAAAAAGGATTTTATTAGGAGGTTGGAGTATTATTTATGAATAAAGCAGGGTTATCTTTCCTTGATTGTGTCTAGTGATCAGAGAACAGAGGACGTGACTTTTTATTTTCTATTCTTATGATTTATTTCCCATCAAATACGGCAGATCGAGGAATATTACAACGGGGACTGGAAAAAATGAACAAGTACACTTAAATAATTAAGTATTTTTAATTAATTAATTTAAAAAATGCTTAAACAATTCTCAATAAGGAAAGGGAGGAATAGGGAGGGCAGTTGCTTGACTTGCGTCATGCACTTTTGAACGCTGAGACCAAAACCTAGAACAGCTTTGCTCAAAGTCCAGTTCACAGTTTATTTATATCCGGCATGTTTTGTGAACTTAATAAAATACAAATACAAATTTCCAGGGTCCACTATCACTATAAAATGCAGACATTTTTATAAGAATTTGGAGGACGGCATCCAGAAATGTGCATTTTTAAAAAGTGTCACTTAGGATAGGTAAGTCTTGCCCACATTGGTATTTCAGAACCATTTTCTGTAGCCTGGTATTCTCCCCTCCATCTATGCTTCCCGTGAGCCTAGGGACTGGGTTGGGGTGCGAAGAAGATATCCACGGATTTAGATGGTGATAAGGGACAAGGGGACAAATGCCATGGAATAAACGAGAAATATCAACCTCCAGGATCCATATTATTTGAACATTTGGGAGAAATTGTATTTTATATTAAAGCACACATTACCCATAAAGAGTTAGTGAAAGAAGTATCTGCATAAACTTTTAAAATTAAACCAAGACTTTCAAGAAATCTGAAGCTGAATTGTAAAATGTCAGCTTCCGGCTAGCGCATGGTGTTTCGGCTAGAGCATGGTGTTCCGGCTGCCTCTGCCTTACAAGTGATTTGGTGTCATTTCTACTTCAACTTTCTCAATAGAAATTCCTCCATAAGTCACTGTCCTAACACTCATGACCTCTGCTGAGTTCTTGCATTACAGTTGACTTAATGTTTTTTCTTTAAAGTAATTCAAGTAACTTACTCTTTTTACATAAATTGACCTTCAACATGGTTTTATTTTTATTTTTGAGACAGCATCTCACCTTGTCCCCCAGGCTGTAGGGCAATGGCATGATGATTATAGCTCAGTGTAGCCTTGAACTCCTGGGCTCAAGTGATCCTCCCACCTCAGACTCCCTTAAAGCTGGCTAAGTTTTAAATTTCTTTGTACAGAGACAGTCTCACTGGGTTGTTTAAGCTGGTCTCAAACTCCTGGGCTCTCACTTTGGCTTCTCAAAGTGCTGCCATTACAGGCATGAGCCACCACCACTGGCTCCCCAAATAAATTTTTAATGTGTATACTCCAGCATCAGTTCTTTTACAATTCAATTTAATTCTGACACGAACTGTGCAAATTTAGCACAGACCCTGCAGGTGATGGGGCTCTGTCCCACAGAATCACCCCCATTTCAGAATGACAGCCACAAGTCCTGGGTGATGCCAAGCCACCTGCACTTCCTACCCAGCTGACTACAATTTGGGGGCTTCCCACAACCCCGCCCTCTCCACCAGATTTGATAATATGCTAGGATAATTCACAGAACTGAAGAAAGTGATAAACTTACAATTGCAGTTTTAAAGGATACAATATAGGAAGAAGAGATACAGGACAAGATTTTGAGGGGAATTCAAGAGCTTCTGTCCCAGTAGAGCCAGTGTATGGTACATCTAAATGTGCACCAATCAGGAAGCCCTCAAGCCTCACTGAGTTTTTAATCAAGATTTCATGACTTAGGCATTATTGATAAATCACTGACCATGTGATTGAACTCAGTCTCTAGCCCCTCTCCCTTCCCCAGGTAGAGTGGGGTGGGGTCTGAAAATTCCAACCTTGTAATCATGTGATTGGCTTCTTTGGCAACCAGTCCCCATTTTCAAGCTATCTGGGATCCTTTGATCAGCATAAACTTGCGTATAGTTGAAAGGAGTTTGTTATGAATAATGAAAGACATTTCTATGGCTTGGGGAATTCCAAGAGATTCTAAGCTTTGAACCAGGAGCCAAGGGCAAAGATAGATTGATAGATGATAGATAGATAGATAGAGATAGGGATATAAAATTATACCACAATGTGATAATTATAAGGTTTGCCGAAAGTGCTGTTAAGTATGAAAATATTAACAATGTCAATGGCCTCTGTCTGTGTCCTTTTGGATCCAATAATGGTAGATCTATCCATTGCACATGGACATATTAAAGTTCCTGAATGCCTATAAGGGAAATCTGTAGTTTGATGCATTTGTTTTGGCTTTAAGGTATTACTACATAAACTTTTATGCTGAAGTAGTAGTATCAGGCCCATCCTCAATTTAAATTTTGATTGTTTCATATTTAGCTAAATAATCCACCATTATTTTTTATAAGTTAAGATATGAATACTTTTTGAAGGAGGATTATAAATAATCACTAAAATTCACACCTCCATGTGTAAAATGAAATGTCCAGCACACCTGCTACACTGAGATATTTGAGAACAAGAGCCATATATTATCCTTATGCCTCCAAGAAATTAATGAAATGTCTGGCACATTTGGCAACTGAATGCATAATTACTATTTTTCTGAAACTCTGTATCAGTCTATTACATTGAAAACTTAATACAAACAATTATTTAGCATTGGTACCCAAATATGTAGTCAAATTCAAGCTGTCAAAACAAAACAATAATTAATCCTCACACCTATAGCATTTAGCTCTTTAAAGGTTAATTGAATTAAACTGGAGTAACTAAGTGTTGAACTTTAGATTGCAAATAATAATAATTATTATTGTTACAGCCACATTTGACATCAAATTAACAGTTGTTTTGACATTCTAAATGATAATCACATTTTCTAATCAACCATACAGAAATCTAAACTGCTACTAGTGACCTGAAATATCAGAAAAATTTTTCTCTACCTTGGATGTATTTATTATATTGTATTATCTTGTTTTGAGTACAGAAATCTATGGACCACAAAGTGAAA